ACCTTTCCATACACTAAATACCTGATATACAAACAATAGAGAGAACAAAAACAAATAAAGGTACAAATTACACATGATACAGAATTATAAAGTAACTTGAAAATGGTGAAATAAAAATGTAATGCTAAAAAAATAGAACAGCATTTGAGTTATACCGGTTTTGAATCACCTCTCATGATGTTCAATGCATACAATTGTTAACCACTGCTTAAATTCTGAAGGTTTAGACCATAAATAGAGGGACCAGAGAACCCTTACAGAATAAATTGTGCAAAAAAATTTGAAAGAGCGAGAAAGAAATCTTCAAATGTGCATACAATTTTGTTTAAAATGTGCAACATGCATGTGACTTACATCTTCACCAAAATTAACAACATCCACATTGACTTTCTCTTTCTTTAGTTTCTTTGAAAGTTTTACCAGGTCTTTATCTTCTTCTTCAATTGGGCTTCCAACAAATATAACTATTCTCATTCTGTGATTTCTTCCTTGTCGATGTTTCAAAGCTAACTGGAATCCAAACGTAAAGTCATATATAAAATGACAGAATACACAAGAGTGGTTGAATCTCGTTATACAAATCCCGTGCGAGGTGAAAAACATGTGTACACATGACAACTACGGAACTATAATATCTATCCTTAGTCTCGTACACTTGTACTCAAAAAATCATGAGTACTGGTACATTTATTCAGAATGAATATGGAATACCAGTGTTCTCCCCAGGCCTTCTAAGAGTATCGGGACTGATACTGTTCTTTCTTTCCCTGATACGGTTTTCCTCCAGCTGGGCCATTTCTGATCTGTTTCAATAAACGATTTGTCTTATGTGGGCCATTGTTTTGCAAGGATGAATAAGTAATTAGCGTCAGACATTTTTGTTTTTGCGGTACTGAAGAACTTGTTGTAATGTTCCCTGTTCGTTTTTGCGTGGTTTCCATCTTTCTCAAATAAAAAGAAGCATTTGAAATCTATTTTACTCAATGTTTATTCTTGTTTGATATTTTTAAACAAAATATGCACTCATTAAATAACTAATAAATATGCGAGTTTTTTGTTTTTACCGAATGAGACAAGGAAGAAAATGGCGGTAGTTTTGTGTCTGGTTGATCATGATCTTCGGTTTGTATCAAAAGCACGTCTCACAAATGAGGTATTTTTATCAAACGATAATTTGATAGCAACTAAACAAATTTTCGCTGGCATGTGTAAGGGCTGGAACACGTACTATCAAGGGCTCAAAGTCCCGACTTAAAAGTTAAACCGCAATGCTTTTATTTATTTTTTTTAGGTACCCCAGGGTATGTAGTTTTACGAAATTTAATTAATTTCACTATTTTGATGTTTTGAGCATATTCACTGTGTTTTAATTTCATAAATTCGCAAGGAAACAATTTGTTTTATTGTTATTTTATATGTTCACGTAGATTTAATTTAGCAGATTTTATTTGTCAGCGAAAATAGAGAAATAAAAATCCAGTGAATAATTCACAGTGAATAATAGTATTCAAGCACACAATAATTTGGACGTATGGACACGTAATGTCCTTGATTAAATAAACAGACTATCGAAAAAGCTATTGATTTAATGAATTTGTTTTTAAACATAAATTTATAATTTTATTTTGTTATTTTATATTTATGATGATGATAACCATGAATAAATAATAAAAATTAACCTGAAACTTCATTACGATTGTCTATATTACATAAATGTGATGTAAATTCATACCCTGGTCTCTGGTTAGCATAACAATAGATATGGTAATTAAAACTTAAATTTATTATGCTAATTCAATTGTTATGTAAATTATCAAAACTGTTAAGAATTGCATTGGTACAATACAGCACTCTGATTGGTTAATAACAGACTTGACCTATTAGGTCAAAGGACATTGTTGCAGTTTAAATCATGCAAATACATCATGGCGAAAAGTAGTTTTCATCAAGAGTTTGCATACGATCGAACACATTCGTCAGTGGTGATAATGATGAAGATTTTGACTTTGACTGTTCCAACAGACTAATATTTTTAATCTCATAAATTCGGGTGGTACGTAAATAATATTGTAATAAAAGGTACAAATTTTTTGTGACCACGCAACTAATTTTGTAATTTTATTTTCCCTCAAAGACGTAATATCCCCCTCAATCTGTCACATGGTGAGGGGGTTTGCTCGGGTAAGCGCTCATCCCTAAAAAAAATTATATAGACAAGCCAGTTAATCTTCAGTTGGACGATTGACAATTGTACTTGTTGCGGGCTGTAGAAATACATTATCAAGCCCTGGGCTTTATTGATATTTTTAATTATGGCCATCTGAATATTTTGGAACAAGGACAATCTATGTAGGGAAATGAATCAAGAAAATCAAATGTGAAACGCTAACATACTGACATTCCTTTTTACATTTACCGTATTTATCCGGGTATAAGCCCAGGGTCTTGAACATGGAAAATTGCCAAAAAGAAGGGGTGGGCGTTTGCCAGGAGATCCCCGGCAAAAAAAACGAAAATTCGCGAAAATCGGCAACACGCAGTTCGATCGACTGAACGGCAAATGAAAACATGCAACGGAAATAAATGAACAATATGAAACACTAGAAGTAGAACAAAAATAATGTATTGCTTATAATGTGACAAAAAACCAGAAATAATAAAAATCGACAGTGAGGAATCATTTGA